GGGCGGCGGGTCTGGGCTTCAGGCTGACACATCAGTCTGAGAGACTTCTCCATGAGAAGGAGTTTGAGTTGCAAGTCTCTAGCCTTTCTTGTTCGGGTAGTTAAGGCAATGAGGACACTTCTGTGTAATGTGTGTTTTGCCTAGGTGGCGCACACACTGAGCATGTCCGTCCGAAACAGGTATCGAGAGTCTGCAAGTGAGGCAACTTTTAAAGCCCAGGAAACTGGGCATTCCTGTCAGGGAAGGCGTTGCCCTCACGGAGGCTGACTATCCTAAAGGGCTAAATGAAAACTAACTTTGAACTGTAAGACTTAAAAAAAAAAAAAAAGAAGGCGACCAAGTACAAAGGAAAACAAATCAACTATCTAAACCAGGGGTCGGCAACCTTTCAGAAGTAGTGCGCTGAATCTTCATTTAATCACTCTAATTTAGGGTTCCCCGTGCCAGTAATACATTTTAACGTTTTTAGAAGGTCTCTTTCTATAAGTCTATAATATATAACTAAACTATTGTTGTATGTAAAATATATAAGGTTTTTAAAATGTTTAAGAAGCTTGATTTCAAATTAAATTAAAATGCAGAGCTCCCCGGACCGGTGGCCAGGACCTGGGCAGTGTGAGTGCCACTGAAAATCAGCTCGCGTGCCACCTTCGGCACGTGTGCCATAGGTTGCCTACCCCTGATCTAAACTAATAACAGTAGTAAATGAGCTAAAGAACTAAGTAGTGAGGCGCTTCTAAGTGCTCCAACTCATAGCCAAGGATGGTAGAGAAGGAACTGGGGGTGGGGGAGAAGGTTGGTCGCACAGCGCTAGTTAACCGCCTGAGGCGGCACGAGACAGGGACCACGCCTGTGTGACGTAACTGGACACTGCTACCAAAAGTCTCCAATTATGAGCACAGGAGCGCACAAAGACCTAATGTGGAGTTCCCACAGGGACAGCACTCAAAGAAGAACATAAAAATATAAACACTTACTGGGATTAATTTCAGAAACAAGCCTGTATGTTAAAAGGTAATTTTTCACCATTTTTTAGGAATGAAACATTTTCTCGCCAACATTGTAACAAGTAATAAAGTAGATGCAAGTCTGACAGATACACAACTGAAACAGTTACACTCAAGCTCTGACTATACTAGCAACTAAGCTATTTTCAACTGCAAGTTCAAAATGACTCAATGCTAACAGTAGTTCCCAGTAATTTATCAGTTATCTAGTGCAGGGGTTCTCAACCTTTTTCTCTCTGAGGCCCCCTCGACATGCTATAAAAACTCCAGGGCCCAGTGGGGCAGGGACGCCCCAGGGCAGGGCCTTGGGCATAGGCATAGTTTGACTTCCATGGAGGGGGAGATAGCAGAGCTAGATCCACCTCCACATGGCGGGGTCCAGGGAGGGAGTGCCACCTCCACCCCTTGACTCACCTCAGCAGGCCACAAAGCCTATCTGGGCTGGGGAGGAGCACACAATCAAAAATTATAACTCAAAGGTGGGAAGCTTAGCTCAAAAAGTTTGAAAACAGCTTAGAGTTCAGGGAGGGGGTTGCTAGGGGCTGTGTGAGGGCAGGAGGTAGCTCACGGTGGAAGTAGGGAGTCGCTAGGGGCTGTGTGCAGATGGGGGTAGCTCAACTTGCAGGGATGGGATAGCTGGGGCTGTGTGTGGGCAGGTGGGTACCTCAGGGTGCAGGGAGGGCATAGCTTAGGGTGCAGAGAGAGTAGTATTAGGGGCTGTGTGCTGGGAGGACTCCCCTGTGGTCCCTGTTCCCAGAGGAGTCTGCCAGCCACAGAGCCAGGTCTCCCCACCCAGGGGGCTACTACTGGCTGCCTCTGCAGGAGCCAAGGGGGCAGGGAGCTGAGGAGCAGCTTCAACCTGGGGCACCAGCAGAAGAGGAAGGAATGCTGCCGCTGCCTCCGCCATGGCAACAGCAAGAGCCGCAGCTGCCCCACAGTGCCTGGCTCCGGCTTCAGCTTCCCACCTCTGACCTGGCCAGAGGGCGGGGGCGAAAGGTGTGGAGTTGCCCCTGGGACTGCCGTGCTCTTGCACTACAGTTGGGGGGGAAGGCAATGCCCTCCAGGTCCCCAGTTCTGCCCATGTGCTCAGGGCTTCTGCCCCACAGGGAGCACCAGGGCTCCGGGCTTCAGCTCCGTGGGGGGCACCGGGGATCGGGGCTTCAGCCGCGGGGCCCCGCGGCCCCGTTGAAAGGGCTTGCGGACCCCCTGGGGGCCACGGACACCCAGTAAAGAACCGCTAATCTAATGTAGACAGGATTTCGGGATACACACTTGCCAGGGTACCGAAGAGCAGTTCTGTCAGCTTTCAGAGGGACCAGGCCAATGATTTTGAAGATGTGACAGAAGATATTCTGAGAACAACTCACCAGATAAGAGTTTTCCCTTTTAGTAGCCAACAAAGATGTACCATCTAATTTAAATGTCAGTCTCATCCTAGTTGTTGATATTGCAATTATAAAATTTCCAAAACATTTTAGACAAATATCTAAGAAAAACAACCATAGATGAGGTGAATATCAATTTCATGTCACTGCCACAAAAACTTACATTATCTAATAAGCAATGTCAATTATTAATTAGTTATCTTCTAGGATGCTAGAACATGATATACAACACCATCCAAGCTCAATAAACATCACTATTTCCCTGTTTCATTTCCTTTTGATGGTGAAAATACTAAATACAGATGTAATCTAAAAAGTCTTAAACTATCTACCAGAACTATGCATATGTGAGAAGTGAATCTGAGAAAAATATCAGTTGTGGGAGCCAAAAGTTACTTCAATTATGACAAATTTAATAGAGCCTACCAATAATAGCCTATTTTTATTAATGGTGTTGTATTCCCTCCCTCTCCTGCCATCTTCTCCTACGTAGAATCATAGAATCGTAGAACTGGAAGGACCTTGAGAGGTCATCTAGTCCAGTCCTCTGCACTCATGGCAGAACTAAATATTATCTAGACCATTCCTGACAGGTGTTTGTCTAACCTGCTCTTACAAGTCTCCAATTATGGGAATTCCACAACCTCCTTAGGCAATTTATTCCAGTGCTTAACCAGTCCCTGACAGTTAGGAAGTTTTTCCTAATGTCCAACCGAAACCACCTCTGTTGCAATTTAAGTCCATTGCTTCTTGTCCTATCCTCAGAAGTGAAACAGAAATGTTTTTCTCCCTCCTCCTTGTAACAACCTTTTATGTACTTGAAAACTGTTGTCCCCTCTCAGACTTCTCTTCTCCAGATTAAATAAACCCAATTTTTTCAGTCTTCCCTCACAGGTCATGTTTTCTAGACCTTTAATTTTTTTTGTTGCTCTTCTCTGCAGCTTCTCGAATTTGTCCACATCTTTCCTGAAATGTGGCACCCAGAACTGGACACAATACTCCAGCTGAGGTCTAATCTGCGCGGAGTAGAGTGGAAGAGTGACTTATTCCTCCTTATACATCCCAGAATTATGTTTGCTTTTTTTTTCTTGCAACAGTGTTCCACTGTTGACTTGTACTTAGCTTGTAATCCACTCTGATCCCTAGATCCCTTTCTGCAGTACTCCCTCCCAGGCAGTCATTTCTCATTTTGTATGTATGCAACTGACTTTGCATTTGTCCTTATTGAATTTCATCCTATTTACTTCAGACCATTTCTCCAGTTTGTCCAGATCATTTTGAATGTTAATGCTCTCCTCCCCAAAGCACTTGCAACCCTTCCAACTTGGTATCATCCGCAAACTTTATAAGTGTACTCTCTATGCCATTATTTAAATCACTGAAGATATTGAACAGAACCAGATCCAGAACTGATCCCTGTGAGACCCCACTCGATATGCCCTTCCTGCTTGACTGTGAACCATTGATGATTACTCTCTGGGAATGGTTTTCCAACCAGGTATGCACCCACCTTATAGTAGCTCCATCTAGGTTGTATTTTCCTAATTTGTTCAGAAGGTCATGCAAGACAGTATCAAAAGCCTTACTAAAGTCAAGATCTACCACATCTACCTCTTCCCGCTATTCACAAGGCTTGTTTCCCTGTCAAAGAAAGCTATTAGGTTGATTTGACAGAATTTGTTCTTGACAAATCCATGCTGACTGTTACTTTTCACCTTATTATCTTCTAGGTGTTTGAAATTGATTGCTTAATTACTTGCTCCATTATCTTTCCAGGTACTTAAATTAAGCTGACTGGTCTGTAATTCCCCAGTTTGTCCTTATTTCCTTTTTTATAGATGGGCACTATATTTGCCCTTTTTCAGTCCTCAGGAATCTCTCCAGTCTTCCATGACTTTTCAAAGATGATGGTTAATGGCTCAAATATCTCTTCAGTCAGCTCCTTGAGTATTCTAGGATTATTCATCAGGCCCTGGTGACTTGAAGACATCTAACTTGTCTAAGTAATTTTTAACTTGTTCTTTCCCTGTTTTAGCCTCTGATCCTACCTTATTTTCACTGGTATTGACTATGTTTAACATTGAATCGCTACTAACTTTTTTGGTGAAAACTGAAACAAAAAAGTCATAAAACACTTCTGTCATTTCCACATTTTCATTTATTGTTTTCCCCCCTCACCGAGTAACAGGCCTAGCCTGAAATGTAGAAATGTAGGGCTGAAAGGGACCTTGAGATATCACCCAGTTCAGTCCCCTGTGCTCTGGCATAACCAAGTAAACCTAGATCATCCCTGACAGGTGTTTGTCTAACCTGTTTTTAAAAACTTTCAATGATGGGGATTCCATAGCCTCCTTTGGAAGCCTACTCCAGAGCTTAACTACCCTTATAATTAGAAAGCTTTTCCTAACATGTAACCTAAATCTCCCTTTCTGCAGATCAAGCCATTACTTCTTGTCCTAACTTCACACCCCACAATATCAGCCTTTATCGCAGCCAACAATTACTTACCAGTACCGGAACTTTGAACCCAAAGTAAAATAATGTGCAAAAAAGTTCTTCTGAGGCGGCAGAGGTCTGTCCAATCGGAAGAATGTGTGATGCTCAACACAAGCTTTCCACAAATTCTTACATGCTCGGTAATTCACCATATTGAATCCCAGTAACATTTCTCTAGATTCATGCTAAAAAAGAAAAGTATAATTTCATTTTAGAAAAATTATAATGCTTCTCTACTATGTTTAGGAAATGTATTTAAGATTATTATTGTTCATTGATAACACTTATATTTTCCAAAACAGTACAAAGCATTCTATTTCAGAATATGTTTGAAGTGCCAATCTAACCACTCCCAAGTTTACACACATTTTAAAGCCCTTCTATGAATAACTCCAACTAGGGTTACCATATCTATTAAATAAAAAAAGAGGACCCTCCACGGGCCCTGGCCCCACCCATTTCCCCACCCCCATCCCTGCCCCAACTCCGCCCCTTCCCTGCCCTAACTCCGCCCCTCCTCCCTCCCACTCCCAGCCAGGGGAAAGGGCTGCCCGAGCGCTACCGGCTTCACGGTTTGCCGGGCAGCCCCAAGATCCTGCGCCTCCTGCCAGTGCTTCCCCAGCGCAGCTGGAGCCCGGGAGGAGAAGCGCCCAGCCGGGGGCGCAGGGTC